TCTCTGTGGCTCATGGTGAAGCACCGGAGCGCGGAAATCGGAAGGTTTGAGGTTCAATTCTCCATAGGGGCTCGGAATTTTTTACTTTGTCCCACGCTCATGGCAAGACGAAATAATAACTATTATCTTAGCGAACGCAAAACTTACCGTCTGTCTTATTCTATTTCGAGACATTTCATTGTTCTGTTGCACTCAGTCATCCGGATGAATGCCTTTGATTGTTTGGTAAGGTGATTGACGTATTATGATCGGCTGTGATCGCGTGGTCCTCGAAGCATCCCATCATTGCAAAGCAACACAGAATCGACAGTAGGTTGCGAACTAAATGCTACGTCTTTAAAATTCGTAAAGAGCGACTAACTTATTGACAAGAAGAAAATGAGTTTTGGGGCCAGTAGTACGGTTACGAGACAGACGATTTGAAAACTACCTACATCTTGAGCTATTTGATCGAGAATCGAAACCGAGAGGTTCTATGTGATTGAGTTGAATTCATATCAATGTTTTCCGGCAGCTGTTGGTCGAATCGATTTCAAGCGTTATGTGACAGATTGTGTTTATAGCAGGAAAGAAGCTCAAAGCTAAAGGTAAGAAGAATGCTTTTAACAAACCATCGTAAAATAACTATGTGGGGATATTTACGAATCGCACATAAAGAAACGCACACCGTCAGTAATCCTTGTCACAGCTTCCCAGTTCTCTACACTCAACAAGCTTATGGGTATGTGTAAGCTAAATTTTGCTGTATGTAAAATCTGAATTTCGAAGGTAGGTTTTTTTTGTCGGACGTATAACGCAAACGTGCAAGAGTCAAATTTATTTTCGAGAATTGATAGTGATGAAAGTGGAAATCGAAAGTGAATTGGTTTCAAATGGAGAAAGTTGGAAAATATTCCTCAAGCTGAGTTATTTTAAAAGTTAATTTCTCCTCTATACTGCAATATTGAAAATGAACGTGATTTTCCTGCACAATTTAACCTGCTAACCCCCATGAGTGACCAAGACAGAATTTCTCCTTACAATATCTACACAATATCAATCAAATAAGTGATAAGAATTAAGAAAAAGATCAATTTCAGATAATTAGTTGATCCAATACTAAATTCTCTGAACTAATATCATAAGAATTGTATGGTTGACAGTAAGGAGAATTACAAATTTGATGTGGGAGTTAAAGTGTTAGGATACAAGCATCTGTCATGATATTCTAGCTTTCAATCAGTTGGATTTTGGGGGGGGAGGGGAGCCAAGAAAGTCAGTTTCACAGCTTATTATTCATGCAGGCTTCAATTATTGCATATAATATTTGTACAGCTAAACAGCATTCTAAGTGATCTGACAAAAGAAATACATTTGAGAACAGTATAATTTACCTACAGTATAATTGCTTGCTGTCTGTGCATGTATTTGTACATGAAGCCATTCACCATACTGATCACAATATTTATTTCAATAACCAACATGTCTGTTGTTAATACATGATCCATGATATTAACACTGGAATCCAATCCTCTAACATGTGACCATATAATCAATATGCATTCAAAAGCCAGATGGAAGATTTTCACCAGTTTATTAACCCTTAAACCCCTAAGAGTGACTGGCTTCTAATTTCTCCTTACAGTATCACCCTTGAATTGAGTGTAAGGGTTGTGAGAATAATAGAAGTAATCACCAATTAAGAAGCTGACCTGATTGTCAAACAAATTCTCCTTGTCATTACCACAGGAAATGTAGAGAGATCAGTGTGGAGAATATGAACACTAATGTTAGGGTGTAAAGGGTTAAGGGTTCTATTGTTATAATATTACTCCTGCCACTGTACAGTGAAAATGTTTTTGTTTCTGTAGTGTTATCTGTTAATACAACACAAGCTTTTAAGTATTAATTGCACTTTTTTGTTTATATCACTCATTTGTGTAGCATTCAATATTACCACTTTTCTTTATGTAATGTTATGTTACTCAGTCTATTGATGTATGTGCAGTTGTTTATGTTATTTGTTGTGGGTGTAAGGAGGTTTGTTTACATTATTAAAATCATCTTTCTTTTCTAAAATATGACAGGCTCTAATTTCGGTAAAAAAATCACCCTCAATAACTGTCTGTTATTTTTAATCTCCCTTATACCCTTTTGGGTAGTGACCTGAGAGTTACTTTTAATCTCTTCTATACCCTTCTGGGTAGTGTATACCTGAGGGTTATTTTTAATCTCTTCTATACCTTCCTGGGTAGTGTATACCTGGGGGTTATTTTTAATCTCCCTCACACCCTTTTGGGTAGTGTATACTTGAGGGCTACTTCATGAATTCATCTAAAACACTTGCACCAAATTATTACAGTGTTTGATAATGTATATGAGAAAATTACAAGCTTCTGATTGGCTGAAAACAAGTGCATTCTTTTGTAACAGGAGTGCAAAGTTGTATTACAAGTGCAAATTACAAATAGTGTGTGCAATCTTTCAAAATTCCATCTGTCTTGATTTTCAGTGATGTTTTTCATGTCCATTTAATGAACAAGAAATAAGATGATTTCTCTTGCAGTTTTTCAAAATAAGCACTGTCATATAAATTTTTCAAATTTTTTTATTCTATCTTCTACCTGTTTGCTGAATAGTGTATGGATATTAGGGAGAAGTTACATGTTAATCAGTTTTGGGGATTAAAGGGTTAATCACTTGTATGATTACAGATAGAATTGGACTCTGCTCGGTCCTATTACCATTATACATCATGCTCAACCTTGTCCAATAACTAGTCAGTAATAGATGGATTGTACATACACATTGTGATCAAGGAAAGATTTTTTTCCTGACACACTGCTGGTGAAAGGCCTTGTAATCATTTTGAATAAATTATAAACAATTTGCTTTTGAGCAACTAAGGGAAGAGTCCCAGGTCCCTCAATATCTTCTTATTAATTCTCCCTTCAAGCCATCATACATTTTCTTGTAAATTAGTAGGGAGAATATAATGTTACATCACTACACAATTTTCTCAGTTAATATGTGTATCAAGTCTTTAGCTGGATAGTTTGCTAATATTGTAAGTATAAGTTACATATAAATCACATCTTGGAGTTAACTCTTCTGAACTCTCAGAAGTGATTAACATGTAACTTCTCCCTACATTATCCATACATTATCCAGAAAACAGGTGATGAGAATACTGAAAGTTATCAGGTAGAGATTGTAATCTTGATCAAACACTGAATTCTCATAACTAATTCACAAGGAAATGTGTAGCAGCCAGAGGGGAGAATTAAAAATCAGATCTTAGGTGTTAAGGGTGCATTTCTTTACCTTTATAATGTTCTCTTTCAGGTCTTATTGGACAAGAATGATGGAATATCAAGCAGGATAGAATCTCTTAAGAAGAATTCTTAGCCAGAAAATAGCAAAAAAAAATTTTTAGCTTGTGTCAGTCTCCTGGCCAACAGAAATGAGAGGAGAGCATGTGTTAAGAACAGCATGGGCTGTGGTAGTTTCCCTGACAACCACAACAGCTGTTTGTAGCTTACCAGCTCTCTTACTCATCTTCACTGATAAAGGACCTGATACAGAAATTTTTGAATAAGATAGTAAATATTTCTAAGTTTGTATTTAAACCATTAAATATTATCATCAATAGACTGGATTTCTATTATCTGTTTGTACAAGTAGATAAAGGGGGTAAGTTTCTAAAGAAACTGTGGTGCTGCATCAGTGGGAGAGTATAGCAGGGTAATTTAGTATTGTTGACTGAGTTGATAACTTAAATTGGCCACTGTAAAGAGTTTAAAAGTTAACATTTAGAGCGTTAGCCCTTTGTCCAAACAATTGGCAAAGGGCTTAATGCTCAAACAAAGAGCTATAGCACTCCGAATGTCAGCTTTTAAACTCATTATGGTGGCCTGTTTGTATAAATAGTCCACTTTGTTTGTAAGTATGCTGTAGGAAAAGAGAACTGTTCAGGAACAAATGGAGAGGACTTCAAGTTCCTCTTGTCCCTGCTTATCATTAGTAATCAGCATTGACTGGTTTGAAGGCTTTCAGTGTTTATTCAATCCTTTTTTACCCCACAAATATTGATCCAAGGCAGGAGGGTATGTGGAAACCTCGTCATTATATCTCTCTTGTGTGACAACTAACAAAACAAGTTTCCCTAAAGATTCCACAGCCTGACAAGTGTAGACAAATTCCACAGATGATCACATACTCCTGCATCTCGCAACGGAGATGAGCGATTATTTTTTGCAGACTTTTTGCAGTGTCTTAAATTCCTCCTTTTTAATATTTTGACATTTTACAATGGTGTCTCCCTCTCCTTATGTTTCCTCTCTCTTTTTCTTTCCATTTGTGGCAGGTTTCATTTGCATTTTTTCCAGACTGTCTTTAATATTAAGGTACTTCATGCAAAATTCCTGGTTTCCCATTGTGTGGGAGTCTCACCAGAACTGCTCAATGGGCCCCTTATGGGGCATTACCAGGATCTCGGCAGGATTCTCATAGACAGAGAATGGAATATTGTGTGGAGTACATTGATTACATCATTACTATGCAGGGATCCCACACCTGACCTTAATGCAGCTGTTAATCTTTCCCTTATGTTATGATCTCTTGTAGATTTTAAATGAAAACAGTTGGCCAAAATGAACCCTCTCCACCCTAACATCAGTATGTATTTTCTCCATAATATTCTCTATACATTTTCCAAGGTGCTGAGAAGGAGAATTTGTTTAACAATCAAAAACTTCTTAACCTGGTGATTAGTTCCTCCATTCTTGCAGCCCTGGTGTTTAATTAAGGTTACAGGGTTAATAAATGCGTGATTAATTTATGATTAAGGTTACAAGGTCAATCTTTGATCAATGCTTGATTAAGGCTGCAGGGTTGATGAAGAAATGATAGAATGATCCAGCACACTGTTAGAAAAATCGAGTTCTGGTGAATGTTGCCGTTTTCTTTCTATGCAATTGACAAATCTCAAGGAAAAGAGGTGACGAAACCTACTTCTACCCCAGATTTGTTTGTCAAAACAAGTTTTTCATGCTATCTGTGAATCTTGCATGGGTTTGGAAAGTTGTAAACTGGATGATAGATTGACAAACTGGGGTAATTTTAAATAAAACCAGAAAAACATCTAAGATCGAATTTCTATTTGCAAAGTCTTTTTTCCAATACGCTAAGTAAGTGAAGTGACTCTAAACACTGGACATAAGAAATCAAAGATGTAAGGGAAGCTGTGCATAAACAGTGTGGGTGGTCTGTGCAAGATAAACTTTGTTACCGTGCATCCCTGGAAACGAAAATAATAACATCATGGCGGACGTGGTTACAGTGTCTTTTTCAGGAAGTTCTGCGGAAGATATCGAGAAGGCAAAGGCTTTCTGGAAGTGTATAAACCTTCCTCCGGAACAGAAGTCTACATTAGCCGTCAGTGGAATAAACCACCGTCTAAAAACTGCACCTCAAATTGGAGAAAGTTCGTTAAAACACTGTTTTTAAACATCAGTCTTGGAACTAAACAGCTTACCTCTCGTAAAAGATCGTGTATTACCCACAACTTCAAATTGGCGGCCCTGCCGCTTTCTAGAAGCATGGAAAGTAAACGCTCGCAATCGAGACGGTGGCATTCATCTGCCAAGTTAGTATTTGACGAAAGTGCTGAAGGACAAAGCTTAATCGATTAAACAACTTTTGGAACTGTACAAGTAACCTGCATTTCTAATCTTGTCTGATCTTTTAAGAACTTCTTTCACCTGTGCAACGATTTTTTTTATAGTTATGAGTTCGAATCGTATTCGTGCTTTTCTTAATCGAGAACTAAATATGTATCGTTATGGCAATTTTTTACGCGCATTCACTGGGTTACTTTGAATGCCTTTTGGGATGCTTCTGTTGGTTTTTTTTACTCTTCAACCCCTAAGATGTGATTGTTAATTCTCTCCTGTTCCCTGTAAATTAGTTAAGAGACTTTGGTGTTGGATCAAGATAACTGCTACCTGATAAGTTTGAGTATTCTCATTACCTGTTTGCTGGATGATGTATGGATATTATAGGGGGAAGTTACATGTTGATCACTTCTTGTAAGTGGGTAAAACTTTGATCTAATGTTGGGTAATGAAAATTTGAATTGATTCCTTTGCAGGAAAGAGATTAGTTGGTATCTATCAGATGCACACAACTTCCCTTGAAATGGAAAATGATCCAAGTAAGTCAATTTCAGTTAAAACTTGTAACTCTTTTCATCAATTGAAGGTCTAAATTCTTAGGCTTTAATTATAAAAAAAATTCACTTGAACTTTTTAAGTTCAATAAGCTTCATCATGTCTTTAGAACTTAAAACATATTTGGAGGATGCCCAGAAAAGGAAAGAACAGGAATGAGCTGACTTATAATGTGCAAAAAAAAGTGAGATGATTTTTACAATAATTTTGTGGTAGTATTTTACAGCTTAGATAGATAGTTTTGTTGACACACACAATGACTTTGACACACAATTTACCTTGAACTGTTAGATGTGTTAGATCTGTGTAGCCTGCCACTTGTTGTGTCTTTCCCCACATTTTTTGTAAAGTTTAATAAGTCATGATAATTAATTTCCTTTGCTTTGGGCCCTCACTGCTTTATTTATAGCGGTTTTATATTGGTAATAATGTGATTATGAGTGCAATTTGGTGTTAACTAGCACAAAGACAACCAAATTGCATGAGCTGGTAGGGCAAGTGCAATTTGTAGTCTTTGAAAAATTTACAAGACTGCTTATTACACAAAATGACAAGGGAAAGTATAGTATCACTCACCAATAATGTACATGAAAAAACATCTAAAAACATCACTGAAAGTCAAGACAGACAAAATTTGAAAGCATGCAAGCTCAATTTGTAATTTGCACTCACTTGTGTTACATGAGAATGCATTCATTTTCAGCCAATAAAATTACATTTTTCATGTAATAATTTACATGAAAAAATTATGCATGTTTCTCATATAACACAAGTGCAAAGTTATAACACAAGTGCAAATTAAAAATAGCGTATGGGTGCAGCCAAATTTCATCCGTTTTGACTTTCTGTGATGGGTTTTTCATGTAAATTATTAGCAAGTAACAATATGATTTCTTGTGCAATTTGGTTTAAATAAGCACTGGTAAATTTTTCAAAGACTACAAATAGTACTTGCCCTATATGGATGCGTGCAATTCTATTTTTGAAAAATTAATTCATGTTTAGTAACACCAAACTGCATTCAAAATCATGTTGTTATTTATACAAACAGGCCAGTATGGTCAGCTAAGATCCTTGGGTGTGGCAAAATATCACGATTATAGTTAACCACAGGCTAATCAGGTTGTAATGCAGTCACAAAATTGCTAAATATGTCATATTATGAATGTTAGCCAGTAGCTTTAGCAGGTCATGTCTAAACTGATTTTAATTTTGAAGTGTCTTTGCATCTTGCAGACTTCATTTAGAGAAGAAGCCCAACAAACACTGGCCAAAAGAAAGGTTGAGAGATTAAAGGTTAGGTGACCCTTTTTGCTATTGGATGAGCAAAGCATATAGGAAGGAATAATAAGAAGATGCATTATGCAATGCATTGCATTAGCGCAGCCTTAGGAGTCTGGGGAGAGCATGAGTAATATTATCACCCCTGAATCACACATCAAGACCATAAGAATACAGGAAAAGAAGCTCTTGATTGTTAAACAAATTCTCCTTGACAGCACCTTAAGAAATGTTTAGGGGACAGTATGGAGAATGTTCATACTGATGTTAGAGTGTAATGGGTTTAAGATGGAGGACTGATTGATAACCCTTTAACTCCCAAGATCTTGTTAGTAATTCTCCTTACTGTCTGCCATACAGTTCTTGTGATGTTAGTTTGGAGAATTTGGTATTGGATCAACTTATAATCCCCTCATTGGTTTTTTTTTTATTCTCATCACTTGTGTGCTTGATATTGTATTGATATTGGAAGGAGAAATTCTGTCCTGGTCACTCATGGGAGTTAAAGGGTTAAATATGGCAGATTACTTGGGGAGGACTTGTGTGGGGATCCCGGCTAAGTTTGTACCAGATGTATTATAGCTCAGTTATCGGAATTGCAACCTTTAGAGGTTGACCTGACAAAAAAAGATAATATTCTGCATAGTACTACCCATGAATTCACTTTAGGTTTACTTAATGATTTGAGGTACTACTTTTTTTGCTTAAGATGAGTTTCCCTTTTATTTCTTCATCAAAGTATTTTTCATGTAATATAGCATCCTGACACATTGTGGATGAAACTCAAAACTTTTTTAACAATTGTGGAAAAATTGAGGTAATCATGATCGTAAAGAAGTTTAAATCAGCCATCACTTACTTCAATGTCATGATCTCTGCCTTCTCACCTGAACTCCCTTTAGTGAGAAGGCAAATGAGGGGGGTGGGGTGGGTGCAAGGAAAGAGTAGAGACCCATTCTTAGCTGGAACCAGGCTGAAATTTCCAAATATATATGATCTTGAGCATCAATCATGATTCAAGAAATTAAAGAAGGGAGCTGGTTGCGATTCAATGCTATATTACCTGAAATACAGACCTTTGGAAATGGAAATGAAAAGCAACTTTTGAACCTTAATTTAAACTTTTAGCCTTTAATTGTGGTAGCAGAGGGTGCAGTGGTGAGAGTGCTTCCCTCCCACCCCTCCCACCACTGTGAACTGGGTTCAAATCTTGGACCTGGCATCACATGTGGATTTAGTTCGTTTTTGGTTCTTGTCCTTGCTCCAAGGGGTTTTCTCTGGGTCTTCCAGTTTTCCTCTCTCAGCGAAATACCAGCATTCTAAATTCCAATTCGACCTGACAAAAGTGGACAGGAAGAGCCACCCCATGGATTGTCCAATGCTAAAATCCAGTTATTTATTTTTTTGTGTACCGCCATCCATGCAGGCTTTGCCATGTTTGGGACCAGTCACTATATATATTACCTAGGAGGGGGGGGGGAAGGAGGATTTTTGTTGTATCACACTGAAATTAACCTTGTGCCCCCCCTAAATCATTGTGGTATTTTAATGACCCCCCTCATTGGCAGTCAATGTCTTATAGTCCCCCCCCCCTTTGTACTCTGTTAGCAATCACTGTTTCTCCCCCCCCTCTGTTCTCCTGAAAACCATGCGATCCCCCTTCATTCTTTCCTTTCCCCCCCATGATAAATAGTGATAGGTGCTTTGGTTTTAATTTCCCCTGAGCAGAGAGCAGTAATTTCACATCGTCAGCCCAAAGAACATGTCTTCAACATCTTGTAAGTGGGAAACTCTCCTTGTTTTTCCATTTTTTTTTTTGGTTCGAATAAGTAAAGATTTGGTAAAACATTTGACAATAAAAATCTGCGATAAAATATTATAAAGCATAACACGACGTTTCGACGTTTCCAGAACGTCATTATCAAGTGAACTAAAATAATAAAATCGAGTATATATATAGTGAAGCGGTGAATAAATTACAAAGCGTTAAAAGTTAAACAAAAAGTTTGGCCCTAATGGAATCGCTCTGGGTGTCTAAATTGGGCCTTATTGTTCTTATGTACAACATTTCATAAACAAGACAATCCCATTTCGTGCCACATTTTTTAAGCATTCTAAACTGGCTCTCATTGGGTAAGTCAATGTTCCCATAGGCATCTCTCAGGTGGCGACCAATGGCAGAGTATCGATGATCAGCAATGCGTTGAAACAAATGGCGCGTCGTATATCCGACGTAATTTGAATCACACAAATCACATTTAAAACAGTAAACAACGCTATGCTGATTTACGATGCCTGGCTTGATTTCTTTAAGCTTTAGGTCCTGCTCAAGTTTCTTACTGGTGTAGACTGGTTTGCACATCAATGCCAATTTTTGAACTGAGATCGCGCATTTGTCTTTTGGCAATGTTCACTGAGACTTGATCTTTGAAAGGAATATTGACTCTTAAAGTTTCATCAGATTTTGTCTTAGTATCTGGTGTAGAGGAATAATCACATTTGTCGATAATACAATTCACCAAAGAACTAGGGTAACCATAATAATTATTATTATTATTATTATTATTATTATTGCAATAATAATAGGAACGAGTGGAATTCAATTCAGTCTGCAATCTTATGAGTGATTAATACAATCAGATGACTGTGAAGTGGGAGTCCGATATGTTAATGTTAGCACAAAATCCTGTTACCAATAAATCAATACTATAACAAAATTTGAGAAAGAAACCAGATGTATTGGCTATGCGTTTTTCGTAACAGGGTGTGCACATGACACATGCTGTCCACTCATATAGGCATGACATCAACTGTCCTGTTACACTGTTCAGTAAGAGGCATGACATCAACTGTCCTGTTACACTGTTCAGTAAGAGGCATGACACATACACTGTCCTATTAGTGCTTGAATTGGGCTAGTGATAACTAATCACATCTGAGTTTTTTGTTATAGTTGCCACTGAAATGCTGTATCACCTTTCAGGAACCCCTGACAAACCACGTCATGCTGGGGAACATTATGAAAAAGCTTTATTCTCAACCTATAGGCTGATAAAAAATACATGCTGAAGATTCAAGCCAAAGAGATTGTTCTTCTTGAGAATTTCTCACAGGCCTTTCTATCTTTCTAAAAGTTTCCCCTTGTTTTCTTTGAACACTGGTACCAATCCTACTTATCCGAGGAGGAAATGGTCCAGATTGCATAGACGATAACACTTTTCTTTTTCTAAATTTCTTTAGTTCGGTTCGATTAAAACACGGCCAACACTTTGACAAACAAGAAATCAATTTATTTTATTAACGCCAAGAAACACTTAGAAAATTGACTGCTAAGACCGCCAGCCACACTCAGTACTTCTGAAAGTGTGCATCTATCAAACTGCGAAGAAAACAAAAAAAATCCGTGATTTGATACCCTATCGTCCCGCAAGCCATCAGACCTGTCACTTTCTCAACAGGGCGAATCTGGCCGGGCAAAACAAAACGCAATGAAAAGACAACTGCCAAAACAAAACCAGCCACAACAGTACAGTACAGAACACTGAGTACAACAAAGTGGTCAAGCCTTGGCTACTTTGTACTCGCTTTATGGGATTTTTTCCAGGTAAGTGAATTAAGAGTGATATAGACAGTATAAAAGTGACCGGGAAGCTAAGGCCCTGTTTACAAGGAGGTAGGGTAACCCTAGTGCTAGGGTTACCCTAGCAAGAGGGTTACCCTGGCACTCACACATTTCCTCTTGTTTTCAAGACGACGCGTTTACAAGGCGGCTAGGGTTACCCTGGCGCTAGCTGCCTTGTAAATGCTCTGCTAGGGACAACTCGCCTACCCGGGACAACTCTATTTTGGCTCCCAAAGGCAAAACATTATCACAGTACCGACACAGTCAGCGAATTGTGACCAAGAAAATATCAATTTCTTTCACAATTTGTCATATGTTTGCTCTGGAAATAATATTTTTCCGGTTTTGTAATTTGTTCTGTCGGTTGCGTGCTTTATTTACAAGGTTAACCGAAGCGTAACGAGTGCAAAGTTGTCTCGGGCAGTAGGGTTACCCTACCTGTAAATTTTGCTTGTAAACCCGGGCTATCTTTTAACCCTCTTGCTAGGGTTACCCTGGCAGTAGGGTTACCCTATCTCCTTGTAAACAGGGCCTAAGATTCAGGGCCAGGTGAGGGGTCAAGTTCTCTTGTGTAAAACTGTTTTTCGTTCCTTATATTTTGTTACATTAAGGTCTTCAATTTGAGAATTTAGATGTTTTGATTTTTTGTATGCCTTGCGACTCGTATGATAGTTATGTCGAAGATTTGTATCGTGAGGGTTTCTATCTATGTTTTTTGTTGGACAGCGTACTGAGGTTTTTTCGCAGAAGGGCGCAGTCTTTATCAAACCATAATTTGTTTTCTTTGGTTTCTTTTTAAGGCAAACTGCTGTGAGAGAGCTTTCACCGTACACGCATTCAACCACCAAGCCATCCTCGCACAAGCAATCACCAACCACACCTACCAAGCAAGCACCGACCACCGCTATTGACTCTCGCTTTATTTTTTTCGCAGTGAACTTTTTACCTGATTTATTTTATTCTATAACAATTATTTTTTGGTTTTTTTTTGCGTTATTATTGTACTGCCTTTTTCTGTATTGTTCTTTTACTTTTGCTGGCTCAGGATCTGGGGAAACAACGAACCACCCGCCGCAACCAACATTCCATTGAGGGAAAGATTGGGATCACTACCCCCTGTTCCTGAGCAGCAGTGACATTTTTTTAAAAAAAATTCCATTCAAATTTTCTTTTCATTTCATTTCAACTTGCTGTAAAATTTGCTTTGCTTTCTCTCCTTATTCAATATGAACAGTCTGACGAATTTCGAGCACAATATATTGATCAGTTCTCTGTATTTTCCAGCTTCATACATATAGTTTCTTAATCATTTTTAACTCGTGAATTGCGCGCATGCGCAAGAGCGAGTTATAGATACGATGTGGGGAATGGCATTTGCTCGCTCGCTCGCTCGCTCGCTCGATTGGTCGATTCCTGTAAACTTTTTTTAGATTTTAGGCTTTTGAGTGCATTTTATAGTTTTTGGCGAGCAATAAACAGACGAAATGGCGACCTTTGTTGCTAAGAATAGTGGTGGGATGAAAAAGAAGCCAATGATAATCTTAAAAGAGTTTTTTTTTTCGTTTTAGTTTCAACAAGCGGTGCCAGCGACTGGCAGGCATGCAAGGATTCACACTGAAACAACAGAACAACTTTCGTTTTTCATAAAATTGTAATTTACAATCCTTGAACTTGAAAACAATCCGAAGATTCATTGAAAATATCACTTACTGCGAAGCGCTCGGAGTTTACAGATGTTCAAAAGCTTTTTCTGTTATAGCGTGAGATTGAGGACAAAATTGATCATTACGTTTCGTCGCGTGTGTTTTTCCTGTGTGAAGCAACGAAAGATGCCGGCGACTGACGAAATAACAAGTTAACACGAAAATCAGATAACACCTAAACAAACAATTTTAGCTACCGATTTTCAGTGAATTTTTAAAGAACAATTTTCTTTTAAGTTTCAAGACAATTTGAAGATTCAACATACATACAACGTACTAAAATGCGAAAGTTACACACCACAAAATTGATAAATAGGCCTGAAATGAAATTCTATCTTGTTATTGATCATACGTTGCCTAGCACGTGACTTAAATCTACCCAGGCGGAGATCCAAAATGACGGAGGGAGGCTTGGCTTATTTATATCACTCAAAACTCGTTCCCGTTTGTCTCATTTGATAAAGAGGGAATCGTTAATGTTTTCATTAAGACAGTATTGCCTTGATTTTCTAATATTTACAACGAAAGACAGTAAATTTCACTTTTCACCCACATTTACTTCCAACCTTTTCTTTTGAACCAGAAACAAAAATGGTAGACGTTTAAAACACATGACATCATCCACCTTGTCAAATGTAATAGCATGATCATTTCAATTGTAATGCCTTCTTATCCCAACGTTACTTTGTTTCTTTGCTACATTAGCGAACACTGAACTACTGCTCGTACTCTAGATATGACAGTCAACCACAAAATTCCCTAAACCAGATAACATTAAACATAATCTAAAAAATCATGTGTCAATTCACGAGTTTGCTCACAGAGCACTTTGATTGTTAGCGGACTCGTGTAAATGTCATTTCCTTGCACATAGGCAATTCCACATGACTGTAAATAATAGAAATATTTAAAAACCTGTACTTCACTTATCAAACGTTATTTTTTTGGGGGGAGTGTGCGTTTGCTTGTGTGTTGTTCGCGCAAGAGTAGTGATTTAAACCGTTTCGTGGTAGGCGAGTTTAATTTTAACCTTTTTCGAAGACAGTAAATTAATAGATATGTTTATATTTTACAGGTCACTATATCGGCGCGCAACTGTTTTTTTTTTGTTTTGTTTTGTTTTGTTTTGTTTTTTTTGTGTGTGTGTGCGTGTGTGTGTGTGTGTGTGTGTGTGTGTGTGTGTGTGTGTGTGTGTCGAACTCAGTGATTAGGCCACTACAGATCCAGTTTTTTCTCCTTGAAGACACTTTTATGGGTTTTTATTTCCCGCTGCATTCTTCAAATTCGCATTTCGAAGTAGCCCGTGAACATCCGCAATACAGCCCCCGAGAACTTGCATATTCATCACCAGTTTAAAGAAAGAGCATTTTTTTTGTTTTGAGTTTAAAACACCGTTAAGCAAACGTAAAATATCCTTGAAAAAACTAGAGCTACGGCAGGATTGAAGACAAAACCAAAGATACGTTAACATCGCCAAAAGTTTATACGAAAATCCTTCTGTCGAATCCTTCTTTTTTCTCGGGGGCTGTATTGTTTTGATGAAACAAAAGGCTTCTTTTGTTTCGGCTTCATTCAATGAAAGCCGCTACGAAATTCAAGGTTTTTTGCATACGTTATTTCTCGAAAACGAAGCGCAAACCAGCGAAAAAAAAATCAAAACAGTGTATATCGAGTAAAACTAAGTCCACATGCCAAAATTCAACTACTTCTGAACACTTTCAAAAATGGCCAAAAAATCAAGGGGTCGTTCTTGCTCTGAGCCTTTCAATTGAGACCTGTAATAGTAACATCATTGTCATTTATTCATAGATGTCATGCAGTGAATGTGTGTGATGATGCAACATATTTTCATCAGAAAATCAATGAAGACCTTCAAATAGGTGGACTAGATGTTCAAGCAGAAGAAATAATTGACATTATTGATGGATACAAGGGAAAGGGCTAAATTGGCAAATCCACTGAAGAAGAGGTAGGTTGGTGTTTATTCAAATAATTTTGCAGATTTTGGTTTCTTCATAATTAGACTACAAGCAGTCCCTCCTTTTTGGAGATGTCTGTCAGGCAAATTAAAAAAAAAAAATTAAAAAAATTGATGTAAGCTCCCAGCAGCGCACTAACTTTTCTTCACTCTTTTTTTTCCTTTTTGAGTCACACAACTTTTATAGACTTTGCCCAAAAGGATGGGTTTCTTGTAGCCTTTTACATAATATATTAAATAATAACCTGCTTATTTTGGTACTGAAATGACATGCAAGTTGAAAAGAGTTATTTCTATCTATTAGTAAATAACCTTTTCAAAACTCGAAAAATATGAAAAAAAGTTTGCCCCTCATTTCTTTCTGATCCTGTACAAACGCCAAACAAGAAAAATTTGTTTTCAGAATGCTCTCTGGCTGATAGCATGTTGATTTATTTCAGTGCGAATGAAAAGCTGAAATTTTATGGCTGAAAGTTAAAATGATATGTACTCTGTTAACAAGCGATCAGTGTATCTGTTTTACAATTTAGAAGGAATGATCACTCAATGATGTTTCAGACCTCAAAGTTTACCTGCCCCCATCCCTCCCCCCCTCTTTACCACAGGTTTGTGCAAGAGAATAATAATGGATAATTATATCCATAATTATTATAATTTATTGCTTATTTATTCCTTATTTATTCCAAAATGCATTCGAAATTGCATGATTTCCAAATAAAAACATGATTTAAAATTTACTTAACCGTTTGCATTTGAATTTGCACCTTACGAACCCTGATATCTTTGTATCTGTTCATGAAGAGGACATTGTGGAGATATCCAGAACAACTGGAATTATGGTGGACCCCGTGTACAACGTCAAAGCCATTAGAGGAATGCTACACGAGATGAACACCAACCCAGGGCGATTTAAGGGTCACAGAATACTTTATATTCATACTGGTGAGTACAATTTATCAACATCATCTGTGATGAATACCTCCTTCCCTATGGCTAAGAGCCCGCATACCTTAAAAATAATGGTTTCTCAAAGGTAATCCCTTGGAAATGCGATTTCCCTGCAAATGATATTCTGCTCATGCGTGGTTGTGCGCTTGTCAGCCTGAAGGAAAAAGGTACATCACCTTAAGTTGTCAACGAGTGATTTTGGTAAATGATGTGGAAAACGAAACTCATTAATCAAATGAAAAAGAGGAAAAAAACGATTACTGAACTTGGCTATCAGCTTTGGTAAATAATTGTACATACCATGATATTTTTCTCAACCTGGTAGGTAAATTGCAACCTTGAGATCCCATTTTTGATCCCTCGTAGAAGTATCAGTGGTCCGTGACATGTACTGTGGTTGCATGTGGTATGTACTTTCTTTTGCGTGGAAGCAAAATTATTATACGTTAGACTTACTATGAAGACTCTGATTGGTCGAGAGCATACATTCCATATACAATAGCAGATATTGGTTTCTCATGTCGCGTTTAAATTCTGCCTAGTGTCCAAGCCCTTCGTCCGTGTAGTGTTCTCAAACTCTTGAAAAATCAGAGAGAAGATTCTTCTTTAGCAAATTGTTTCAAAAAATAAATGATAAATCAGGTATTGAATTTGGTTTTAGCATGATATTATAAATTATCAAACCTGGCATCTGTGTTATCTGCCTCGGCTTTCGGCTTCGGCAGATAACTCAGACCCCGGCATTGCTAATTTATGATATTATGCTCAACCTCATCCAATAATTGCTCATTAATTTTCAATTGCACCAAGTGGAGAATAAATAACGCGCGAATCTAGTAAAAATTTCCTATGATATTGTACATTTGGTTATTTTGTACTGTAAAAAAACTTGTTTAATCGGTTGGCTGCGCGTGCTGCACTTCTCTATTTGCGTCGCTTTTCCCACTTTTTGCCCATGAAATAAAGCAGTTGGGTAATAAATAACTTATGAGACGTTTTGGCGTGTAGTATCGCTGGGTATTTTTACTCATAGGTTGTGTTTTGACTCGCCCTGCGTGATCGACAAAATATGTCACAACTCGTAAAAATAGTTACCGATACTACAAACCAAAAATTCTGATAAGATGTATCTTTTGATGGAAGACTGAATACGACAACATCCACAGGTGATAAACTTTCATATTTTTGCTTAGAGGATGGTGTTACCAATCCTTTGGAAATGGCGAGACCTGATTTGTAACATTGTTATGCGAGTTTCGCACACGTCTAATAGGGTGTGTCTTATTTTCCAACAGGAGGTGTGTTCGGTTTGTATGATGGAAGAATGGACCCGTTAGTAACTCGCTCTGCACTGGGTATAAATGATGTTGTCTGCTGGGAAAGTGCGAATGATCCCATGCCATTCTGAGGCTGACTCGTTCTTAGTTGTCTCTCTTATTTTAGATATTTACGTAGTGCTCGAGAGGTCCGCGTGTAAAAAGATTTTCGTTCGTTTCTCATCGTTCCTTTTGTTAAATAGTGCTAATCTCTCGCGAAACCCTCGGCCGCGCAAGAAAGACTGGGAACTAGCAAATTTTAGGGTGGCAAGCAAGAAAGGTCAGTCAAGACATGCCTACATTCTCTTTTGGCGTCAGCCAGTAAAATTGTTCACAAACGAGGAGGTAATTGCATCGCATGGACTTCTCAAACCATCAGAGGGAAACAGTCTATGACCAAGGTCTCGTGAGCTCACATATCGAAGACGAACACAACAAATTATTGGACCGGAAAAAAATGTTAAAGCCTTTGAAAATATATTCGTGTAAAAGTATAAAGATTTAAAGTTTTTAATTTCGTGTTTGATTTATACACTTACATCTTTGATTTTACACCAATAAAACAAAAGGTAACGCTGTACCCGCTTTTCAGTATAACAAGTTCTATTTTTGGATCTAGTTTGACATGCAAATTTTGGTGAGTTTTGCAATTGCTTTGGGCAATATTTGGATTCCAAGTTTTGCTTTCAGCCCAACGAGAACTTCGACAAAGGGCAATCAGATGGGCATCGGGTACGTTCGAAGAAGAGTTTCCCGTTGATTGGATTCATATTGCTAAATACCTTTTTTACAATTCCGTGGCTCTGTGTCAATTAAATTCCAAACAATTCACCTTATCAACTTTGTCCGCCTCATGTTGGCAGCGTTTGCCGTGTTTTACGTGAACATCGTCAATGTGATGAGGTTAAGGACCGCTTTTAGGTTGGAAGCTGACTACTTCGAATAAATGCGTTTCTTCTACCCTAAGTTTATCATCTTTCGATGACCAGGGAGGATTGTCTAGCCATAATAATGGCCTCGCCAATTTATACCGGTCAAGATTCCAACCGATGTAGCAAAAACCATCGTTTATTCGTGCCTTCGCAACAATCAGCAAGTCCGCTTTTACACCCATGGATTCTGAACTCTGGCGTTTTAAAAAACAGAATGAAATTTCTTACCCCCGGAGAACAACTCGCTCGGAGTGATTTACAAAACAAATAGTAGCTTGTTCAAGTTCGCGGAAAAACATCAGCCGTGAATGTTCCAGAAAATTCTTTCGAAATGTTTTGTATCTTTTATCATGGAAATTGCTTATGATGGCATTCATGCGTGACTTGTGAGTGCTACATAAACTAACTCGCGGTACGTTGTTGTCAGAGAGCATTTCCACCTTGCGACTATACTTTGGTACACAGTGGCTCTGGTAGATGAAAGGTGAGAAAACTTTTTTTAATATTCGAGCCTTAAATGAAACATTTTATCGCTATTTTACTTGGTTCTGTCATTGTTAAACTTAAGCTGGAGTTCAATACTCTTATAATCATACTGTAAATTTAAAGCTTACCGAGTTATTATGCGATTATCAACCAGTGATATTCTGAGATTGAAACAGCCGTGTACGACCATTATAGAGCACGTAGAAAAGGAAAAAATAACATTTGATCTCTTTGATTTGTCTGGAAGAATAACAGATGCTTGCTTTGAAAATGTGTACATGCACATACAGAAAAATATCTTCGTGGCTAACGTTAACTTCGGCCGTTCCTGTCTCGATCCATTGTCGACTGATCAACAAACGGGAAACAGGTTGGCTCTCAGTTTTGTGATCACTTTCAAACTGATTTGTTCTGAACGAACTTTCAAAGTTCATTCACGAAAAGTGTGAACCAGGAATTTTAGAGGCATTCAAGTTCTGATTAAAGGTTTCCTTTTCAACTTTCCGCAAAGTTGTTTGTTTTGAGAGTATTACAGTAGTAAAACTTTTTAAACTTTGTTTTCAACATGTGAAATCATTTATGTGTTACCGTTACGGTCAAACATAGTTTCTTTCTTAGCTTTAGGACTCTAATCATTTAAGTCTTTTTATTCGTATTGGATGTTTTTGAATCATGTTGCGACAAGAAAAAGTTTTGGAAAGTTTGTAAGTCAGTCAGCCATGAATGGCTTTGCGGTTATTGAACTAAGTTTTGCGACTGATATTTGATAAAGTCAGGAAGGTTTTGCCTAAATGCTGATTACGTGTTTCGACAAAGCTATTTTTTTACATTGACGGTGTTTCTTAACGGCTCTCCTGTGATCTACATTGAAGACAGCTCCATGTTAATGCAGGAAACTGTGACTAGTTTTCTAAGGAGGTTATGCTAACGAAACTGAAAGTAAAACTTTGCATTTCTCAATCTCCTACGCAATCTTTAAATATTGTAAAAGAGACTTGCTTTCCAAGCAAAGAGAAGAGGCTTGGAGATCTGACTTGGGTATTTCATCATTAGATATCATTACTGTTGTCTGTAATGTTTTCTATGCTTCGCGTCCAAGGGAGCTTACACCCTTGCGAAGATTTGCAAAAGAAATTGGGTAGACTCTGGCTCTGTTAAATGAAAAAGTGAGAAAAACTAGGTTATTATTCGAGCCTTAAAATACACCTTCTATAACTGTTTTACTTCGTTCTGTAATCGCCCGACTTAAAACTGGCGTTTCATTCCCTCATGATCATACTGTGCATTTAATTTAAGCTTGTTTATTGTACGATCATCAATTGCAACCAGAGATTAATTGGGAGCGAATTAGCCTCATACGACTATTATAGAGCACTCCCGAGAGGTAAAAGTAAATTTTTTTTCTCTGATTCGATCGGACTAATGAGCGTATGTTTGTTCTGATAATGTGTTAATGTACAGAAGAAATTTCCTCGTGGCTGCCATTAATTTGATAGTTCCTGTCTTCATCTGTTGTCAACTGGCCTCGCTCTGAGTTTTTTTGGTTTGTTATCACTTTCAGCTCACTTGACACAAAGCTGGAAGAAAAATTCGGGAGGTATTTGCGTTTTGATCGTGAATTCAACTGGATTGAGGTTTTAGTTTTCAATTTTCCCGCAAAGTTGTTTCTTTTGAGATTATTACATCAGCAAAAGTTTAACTTTGTTTTCAGAAAGTCAAATCGTTTATGTTTTACCTTTACGGTCAAACAAATTTCCTTTCTTAGCTATAGGAATCTAATCATTTGAGTCTTTTTTATTGTTATTGGATGTCTTTGAATCATTTCGCAACAAGGAAAAGTTTTTGAAAGTTTGTAAGTCAGTCAGCCATGAATGGCTTTGTGATTATTTAATTAGCTGATTTACAAGACTGATATTTGATCAATTCAGGAAGCTTTTGCATATATACTGATTGCATGCTTCAAAATATCTCTGTTTTAGTCTTACAGCGGCGAGAAAATGTTTTTAACGGCTGTCCTGTGATCCACATTAGCGACAGCACCATGCTAATGCAGGAAATCGTAATTAGTTTTGAGGAGGTTATGCAAACGAAACTGAAAGTAAAACTTTGCATTTCTCAATCTTTTACGCAATCCTTGTATATTGCAAAAGAGAGCTGTTATTCAAGAAAAAGCCTTCTTATCCAACTGTTGATTTATCGTTAGACTTCGTAGTCCTCGTCAGTTACCGTAAATGTTTTGCTTTTGGATACATAACAATCAACGCATTTTGAGGGCAATCAGCCGAATTATATTTAGAAAGTATTGTCACAAAGATTTACAAAAATGCCGCGCCAACTCATCCTTATCAGAGATGGAAAAATATAAGAGAGAAAATAATCAACCAAAACATAGATATGGATTGCAGATGAACCACTACAAGGATTCATCTTTGAGTTTAGAATATGCAAACTCATGTGAAGTTATTTTGCTGTGGTTCTGCTCAAATGATCATGAAAATTGACTTTCAGCAGATAATCATCTTTTAGAATACCAAACAAAATTTAACGATAAAAACATCTGGTTTGAAAAACTGCTTTCCGTGTGAAATCAGTTTTGCTTTAAGTCATGCGTTTTGTAATAGAACTTTAATTTTACATACAGCAGAGTTACTCGGTAAGATGCAAATCGTTTTTGTTTTATTTATTCTCACTGTTTAGCCCCGATCGTTGAACTATCACGCGATAGAAATCTCGAGCTCCTACTCTCACTGTTTCAAAGAGAGTTACATCTAAGAGTCAAAAAAGGTATTTAGGAAGAACCCAAACGAACAAAGAAGAAAGAAGAATTATAAAGGAGGCATAGAGATCTGACTCGGGTATTTCATCATTAGACATAATTAGGGTTGTCTGTGATGTACGTGCGTTTTCTTTGCTCCGCGTCCAAGGTAGCTTACACCTTTGCGAAGATTTGCAAGAGACATTGTACCTTGGACGAATTTTCGGAAAAACATCAGCCGTGAATGTTCCCGAAAATGTTTTCGAGATGTTGTGAATCTATCATTATGGAAATTACTTATAAATGCACGCATGCGTGACTTGTGGGTGCGACACGAACTGATTCACGGTATGTTGCGTAGACTTGGATCATTTCTACGTTACGATGATACTTTGGTAGACTCTGGCTCTCGTAAATGAAAAAGTGAGAAAGCTTAACTTATTATCCCAGCCTTAAATTGTACCTTCTATGACTGTTTTACGTCGTTCTGTAATCGTTCGACTTAAAACTGGAGTTTCATTCCCTTATGATCATACTGTGCATTTAATTTAAGCTTGTTTATTGTACGATCATCAATTGCAAGCAGAGATTAATTGGGAGCGAATTAGCCTCACACGACTATTATAGAGCACTTCCGAGAGGTAAAAGTAAATTTTTTTTCTCTGATTCGATCGGACTAATGAGCGTATGTTTGTTCTGATAATGTGTTAATGTACAGAAGAAATGTCCTCGTGGCTGCCATTAATTTGATAGTTCCTGTCTTCATCTGTTGTCAACTGGCCTCGCTCTGAGTTTTTTTGGTTTGTTATCACTTTCAGTTCACTTGACACAAAACTGGAAGAAAAATTCGGGAGGTATTTGCGTTTCGATAGTGAATTCAACTGGATTGAGGTTTTAGTTTTCGATTTTCCCGCAAAGTTGTTTCTTTTGAGATTATTACATCAGCAAAAGTTTAACTTTGTTTTCAGAAAATCAAATCGTTTATGTTTTACCTTTACGGTCAAACAAATTTCCTTTCTTAGCTATAGGAATCTAATCATTTGACCCCTTTTTTATTGTTATTGGATGTCTTTGAATCATTTCGCAACAAGGAAAAGTTTTTGAAAGTTTTTAAGTCAGTCAGCCATGAATGGCTTTGTGATTATTTAATTAGCTGATTTACAAGACTGATATTTGATCAATTCAGGAAGCTTTTGCATATATACTGATTGCATGCTTCAAAATATCTCTGTTTTAGTCTTACAGCGGCGAGAAAATTTTTTTAACGGCTGTCCTGTGATCCACATTTAAGTGACTGCACCATGCTTATTAAGTGTGCACTGAAGAGGCTATTGAGCATTTGAACTCTAATCCTAAAGCAATCTTTCTTTGTGCTTCAGCATATAGCTTTACTTCACTAGTAACAGGAACCACTGAATAGTCTGCAGATGTTAAATTTATGCAACAGCCAATTCGAAGCTAAGTTTCCCAAAAACTATCAATATTTTCCTTCGCACTTTGTCGAATGACATATTTACATATTAGATTTCCTCAGTTTCCAGTTTCATTCTGTTGTGTTCTGAAGTTAGCAGACACATGCAGTATACATGAATTGAAATATCTGAAGGTTTTACCATTATAGGATTCCTCTTGAGTTCAATTATTTTCCAACAACCCCTTTTGAGCATGATCGAGTGAAACAGCCTTATGTTGTTTATGTCTTTCAGATTATCCTAAAGCTTTCTTCAGTTCATTACACTTTTCAATAGCAACAATTACTGCCTTAACCCTTTAACTCCCAGATCCAATTTGTAATTCTCCTTACTGTCAGTGGTACAATTCTTAAAATGTTAGTTCATAGAATTTAGCATTGGATCAACTACTTATCCCCAAATTGACATTTTTCTTAAATCTTGTTACTTATTTGGTTGATATTACATATTTATATTGTAAGGAGAAATTTGGTCTTGGTCACTCATGGGAGTTAAAGGAATAAATATAACACCTGCTTAAATGGAATTTTTGTGACTGTCAATATCTCTCACATTTTATTAATATTTATTTTATGTTTTTCTTTTTCAGAAATTATTACATTTCCATTATTTTCTTACTGCTCATATTGTGATTTCTTGAAGCAGGAAATCTGAACAGGGTAGGTATAGATGTTTTTTTTTTCCATTTTTTCCCTCTTTAAATATGATACATGTATGTAAGGATTTTTTGTGTCTTATTCTCATGGGAATGAAAAATGTTTATGAATATCATTTTGCTTTGAATATAAAACATAATGTTAAAGTAGCAAGATAGGTCACTAATTAAATTTGCGTCAACCTTTACCCAGTGGTTTTGCTCCTTTGAATTTACGCTCAGGAGTATAAATTGAATGTTGTCATCCTTCAATGGTGTTTGACACCATGTCTCATTATGTGGCACCTTGCAGCTGAAATGCATCTAATGATTAAAAAGTTGCTTTGGTTGTTAAAGGTGTAATTACCAATATAGGATGCAACTGCTCACTCTAATGCAAGGTTCTGTATTTGTGACCATCTATATGATTTTTGGGAGAAAGGTGATAGCAAGCTTAAGCTCACAACATGCTTCTACTTGAAGACATCTGTGTTTATAATTATCAACTTCCTGATTAGCAAAAACAAAGTTGGAACATTTGGCTGTGAATGAGTTGCATTAGGATTTAAAGCAGACACTTCAATTACTTTTTTTCACGTGGAGGTTACTTTTGATGATGTTTGTAGCATGTTAAAGCACAAAATCTAACTCATGCGGGACAAATATTGACGATTTTGGAAACAATCCAACATGTTCAAGATATTCATAAATCACCATTACATATAGCTGTCAACAGCCAAAACGTTTGTGTAAAAGTATATTTCATTGGATGGCCAGAGGGATTTTTAGGGGATGGTAAAAATAATGAAAACCATCATGGCCCATACCATTTTACAACTGCTTAAATGATGAAATTTAAAATATTTCATATCTAGCCCAATCATGGATTTTTGGAATAAGGAGACCCTAGATTGTTTGAAATATAGTAATCTGGACGTTGACTTTGTGGAAAATGGCTATAGTAATGAAATATAAGGAAACTTGTAGCACTAAATTACAAAGACACATGAGCCATGCATTTTTTTCGACAGTGCGCATAAAAAAATCCTATATACGCGTCTGACTACCCTGCGTCTGAGCGTCTGAAATTCGTCTGCGCAGTTAACGTGTGGTCGCGAGCGATACTGTAGTGCTTCGCCAGCACCTTCTGCATGTTTGTTGAAGACATCTCTGTACTTGCCAAACAATTTTAATTTATGTTCTCAAGCTGAAACTATTGTTTCTTATAGCAAACTGCTGCTTTTGTAAACCCTTTAACTCCCAAGATCTGATTGTCAATTCTCTCCTCCAGCTGCTACACATTTCTTTGTAAATAAGTTACAAGAATTTGTTGATAGATCGAGATAACTTAAACCTGATAAATATGAATATTCTCATGACCTGTTTGCTGGATAATGTTTAGAAATTATAGGGAGAAGTTGCTTGTTTATCACTTTCGGGAGTTTTATTAATTATCCTTTTTAGTATAATTTACTCCTTGTTCCCTTCAAACTTGCTTAAAAGTCTTTCCAGCTGTGGAAATGCTTGGTTATACTAATGTTGCCATAGCAACTTCATACTTGTTTCCACAATTTTCGTGGGGGGAGTATGCCCCCATTCCCTCTAAGGATGGTGATGCCTGCTGCATCCCATTGAAGGCTAATATGCAGATGATTGCTACCTTCAGTCTTGAAGGAAGCAAAGGGAGGATGTGTAGTGTGAGTGTTGTGGAATTGTGTGGGTTCCCCCCCACTCCATTTGACTTTTAACCCTTAACACCCTAAGACATTGGTATTCATATTCTCCACACTGTTCTCTTTACATTTCCTATGGAACAGACAAGGAGAATTTGTCAAAGAAGTATATTTGATAGTGAAGTAAATGGAAGAGTCAGTTTAGAACATTACAGCTACAAATGCAACAATTATTTAATTAGTGTTTTAATTGATGAAAATCTTTCTTGGAAAAACCATGTTGACTGTGTTATCACCAAAATGAGTAGGAACATACAAATGATTGCTAAGTTGATATGCGTTATTACATCTTCTGTTGTCATAAATATCTGTAAATCCTTATTTTTACCTAATATATCTATATTAGACTCGCTGCTTGGGGCAATACATCTAAAACATATATTAAGTAAACAAATTTGTTGTTCTCCAAAAGTGCGTATTGTGTTTAATTTGCTCTGCTGATTGAAAAGAACATGCTATCCCTTTATTTATAAATGCAAAAATTCTACCTATTACCATCTAATATTATGAAGCTGTATATAAATTAATGCTGAATATTGATAACAACAGAGCTTATTAGTGCACTTTCTAACATCATAAAATTTTTTATGGGAACATTAAACAATTATACCCATTTACTACCACTGCTCATCAATGTCACAAGTGCTTCAGGTTTCAAAATCTGGAATGAGATGCTAAATATCAATAGAAAGTTTTGTTGAAGAAATCCTTCAAAAAAGAAACAAGAAAGCTTTCTCAATATTCTAGAGACTGAAGATTCTTATTTCAAGCCTGATGAGATAATGTGTTATATAAATTCAAACACTGCAAAATTGAAACAAATTGTACTTGCAGTTGAAACAATATTTTTATTGTGCACTTAGATACTCAAGGACTTTTTATCTTTTACAATGAATGTCTTTCATTTTCCATTTTCTTTTCTTGTGTATCTTTTAATGTTTTTTTTAAATGTATTATTGTCATATTAATTTTACTGTCAACAAAATCTGCTCAAAATTTTCAAAATTTTATTTTTTAGAGAAATTAGTTTTAACTACTTAAATGGTTTATTTACAAAAAAAATCTTAAAAAGAAGGTGAGATACAGCTGAAAGGATGTTTTAGTATAAGCCCGTATGAAGAGTGAAAGGTGTCATCATGGGAAATGCCTCAGACAGAGTGTTGACGTTTTCTGCAGGCTTTCATCCAGGATCCCAATTTGCATATGTTGTTTTCATCACATCTTGCACTGCACATTCACTGGGAATCTCTGGCCCATTTTGCAAAACATTGAGTTATGAGAGCCTTAAAGAGTTCACTAATAAGAGGGAGAGAGCTCAAGCCAAAGAAATTGAAGTTAAGTTGTTCATTTTCCAGAGCTTGCTTGGTGACTTTTGGATTATGTTTAACTCATGTTCCTGTTTCATGAAATGACCTTTCCAGCAAATTTCATTGGAGTTCTTTGTCAGTTAAGGCTTAATTGCCACAGGATTCCACATTGTGTCTCATTGTTCATTCATTTGACACTTGCTTTCTAAAAGGAGATGGGAAACTGTAAATTTCTTTTGTGGCCAAAAACTAGAAGTTTGTTATTATACAAGTTACCTGTACATTAATAGGATATGTAGATTTGTTGGACTTTTGTGAAAATTGGCTTGTATGTCCATTGGTAATTATCACACAAAAGTACATGAGGTTTCAAAGAAATTCTAAATATTTCTCTCATAATTCATTGGAGTTTGAAAACAACAGAAATATTTTCTATTGTCCAACTTCACAATGTATTTTCTCAGGAAACAATAAGAATCTCAAAATTGCCTGACACACTTTGTTAGCCTATTATCTGCTGAGTGATACTGTACAGTTTGTTTCAAGGTCTGGGGTAACACAGAGGCTGGTAATTCAGTGATTGAGAAGCAAACACTATCAATGTTGCATTTAAATGCTTACATGCACATACCAAAACAAAAACTGTGAAAAATGTTATTTCCATAATCTGTACTTTATAAGCTTTACTGTGATGTATTTTTTTCTGTTGTAATCTGATCACATCTTTATTGTCAAATAAACAGATATCAAATATTGTGCATGTAAGTTTTCCCTGTACCTTTTCACTTCATCTTTGATTAAACTAGCCATGATCTACTGAAGATCTCTGTTAATAACAGTTTCCTTAATTAGTAGTAGCACAAGTAGGAAGATTTTTCCAGAAGGCAGCCTATTTTGTTGACAGCAATCTTAAGTAAAAATTTGACCAGCCAGGATTTGCATCTGCTATCTGCAAGTTGAAGGAATATTTTGTATATTGAATATGAGAAAATAGATAAAGTGTGAGGTGAGAATCAGGAACTTTTTAAATTTTTGATGATCTCCTTTATTCTTGTGACTCATACATTTGATTCAAGGTTGATACTGTAAGGAGAAATTAGAAGCCAATCACAGCTCTTAGAGGTTAAAGGGTTAAAATGGAAGATGCAGCAAACTTATTTTATTGATCTGTTGCATGATATTTAACTCATTGTTTGAGTGCTGTAATATTCTGGTGTTGCAAAGTTAGAATAAAGTAATAATTTTTGTGTGTGCTCTATAAATGTTGCCTTCCATGTATTAATTACAAGCATTTCTTTACAGAGGACTTGATTTCATGGCTTCTGCCACCCCATCACAACCTTCTACCAAGGAGACCTCTAATTATGCCCAGCTCTGTCGCCTTCTTGTTGAAGTTGGATCACTTATGCTAAGGGAGATCTTTGACCGGGTATGTCCACCAGAAAACCTTCATGCAGTTCTGACTAATCCCACAAACCATGCCAAACTACAAACATTGCGAAAGAAGAGAGTCCTGAGTACCTTCCAGTGGGGGAAACTGTATCCTGTCTCCAAAACATCAGTTTCCTCAGGGAACTTTGACACCTCCTTACTGCTATTTCTTCTGAGGAATATCTTTGGTCTGAATTTCCCTGCCTCTGGCCGGAATAACCTTCCTCCAGGATCAGACACCTCTCCAGAAGCTGACATCACTCGCATCAAGTTTTTCAGGGACAGAGTTTTCAGTCATGCTGCTAATGCTTCAGTTGATGATCCAACCTTTAGTTTGTACTGGAACAACATCAAAGACACTTTTCTGCGTATTGGAGGGACCTGCTATGAGGAAGTCATAGATGATCCTACACTCCACTGTATGGATGCTGATCTTGAAGAACACTACCAAGAGCTTCTGAGAGAGTGGTTGAAAGATGATGACCATATCACAGACAAAGTGCATGGAGACAAAATTGTGAAAAAGGCCAGGAAGGGAGGGGACATGGAGGATTCCCTTGACATTTCTGAACAAAATTCATGGGAGAGAGGTGTGTGTTATTCTTTTTTCAAACCTGAGTTTTAAATTAACTTAAATTTGTTGAGTCAATAATGAAGTCATACTGGATTGTTAGATGAAATGAATTTCCAGCAGATTTTTTTTAAAAGTCACAATTATGCATTATTGAAGTTGTGAATCTTTATTACCTTAAGCTAAGTCAACTGTTACATCCATAATTTGCTTTTGTCTTCATCTTTTTTATCTTTTGATTTTTATTTCAGTAATTGAAGTAACTTTCACATACAAAAACTACAACCTTCTTTTTCAGAGACAGTATTAATGCCAGGGGAAAATACATCAGCAGAGAATGGCAATGGCAGCCCACCAGAGCTCAGTGTGAAACTTCCAAAGTTGTGTGATCTTCCAGCAATCTCTTCTTCTTGGGAAACTGTTGAACTTCCTGTTGATATTGTTTTATTAGCAGTGGAGGACTGTGAGTTCTTAAGTTGTTTTGCCTACCTGAAGGAACCCTTTAAGAGTTACCACATCAGCACTGGCCCTGTGTACTTTGGGTGCATGGGTGATGATCAAGGAAAGAAAATGAAAATTGCATTGATGAGGTGCTCCAAAGGTCCTGATGTTCCTCAGGGTTCTTTGTCAGTTTCAAAAGATGCCATCTCAGTACTGAGACCCAAGGCTATCTTTTCTGTTGGTGCCTGCAGTGGTTTGAATAGCAAAAAGGTCAAGTTAGGAGATGTGGTTGTTTCAGCAAAGCTGATAACAGCTGTATACAAAACTCCCCCCAGCAGAGATATTGGTAACCTGATCAAACATGTGGCTGATGGGTGGAAGGCACCTTTACAAAATGCTGATGAATATAATGCCAAAGTGCACTGTGATGGAGTGGTTCTGAGTATCTCAGAGGCAAACAGAGATATGATTAGGAAACATCCTGAAGCAATTGCAGTTGAAATGGAAGGTGGAGGTGAGAATCATAATAATACAAATAATTGATGAGCCAAGCACTTTTGCACATGTAGCAAATGTTTTGAAAAACACTGCTCTGGTATTGTCTCTGCTGGTCCAAGCATACACCATATAACATGCCAAATTTGCAGGAATTGTGTATCTTGTATTTAAAGTGATTTGATGTTTGGCTGGGTGAGAAGATTATTTCACAGGTGAAGGTGACTGAGACTTCTTCTGGATAACTAGATTGAATTTGCTCCATTAGGATGTCATGAATTGTTTTAAATTTGTCACATGAAAAATGTAGAAAGTATCTTGTTCAATAGTTTGAGAGTTGAGGAATAGTATCACAGTCCCTGTTAACCCTGAAACTCCCATGAGTGACCAAGATAGAATTTCTCCTTACAGTTTCAATATGATATTAAGCAGACAAGTAATGGGAAAAGAAAAAAGTGTGAATTAGGGGATTATTGGTTGATCCAAAACTAAATTCTCCTAACTAACATCATAGGAATTTTATGACATACATTAACCCTTTAACTCTTAGAAGTGATTAACATGTAACTTCTCCCTATAATATCCATATGTTATCCAGCAAACAGGTAGTGAGAATACTGAAACTCATCAGGTAAAAGATAAAATTACCTTGATAAAACATCCAATTTTTTTGTAACCAATTTACAAGGAAATGTGTAGCAGCTAGAAGGGAGAATTAACAATCAGATCTTGGGAGTTAAAGTGTTAAAGAGGATCATTAAAGAGATCTTAGGAGTGAAAGGGTTAACTCTAACTGACAAAACTTTGTCTTTTGAAAAATATTGAAAGTTACTTTATATGAAACAAGATGAAGCCTGAAGAATAGTTTTACAGTCTCAGTGTACAATTTTTTTTGATTACTGGTTGAAAAAAATTAGGTTTCTGTTCCAACTAATGTCTTTCTGCAATGTGCATGTTTACAACAGCAAGAGTGCAGCTAGAGTGTGACTCTTTGTGAGCTTTGATTGAACAATTACATGTATTTTAAAGATGCGAAGAAAATAAGCTTAATATATAGTTAACAGACATTACTGTTTATTTGTTTTGTTTTTTAGGAGTGTATGCAGCAGCCCATGATTTTAAGACAGAATGGGTGGTAGTCAAGGGCATCAAAGACTTTGTAGATGAAACGCACTCTTCAAGTAAGAAATGGAATGAAATTGCCTGTGTGATGGCAGCTTCTGTTGTGGCCAACATTTTGAATGATCCAGTCATATTCCAAGATTGGCCTCATTTTAATGCAGGTATTGCTTCCTGTCTCAATCTTCTCTTTTTACAAGGATAGGTCTGACTTAGATCTAAGTTCCCTCAGCATATTTTTGTATGAATTATAAATCAACATGATTTAATCAGTAATAGTTGACAAAGAGGAAATTAAGTTACCCTTATTTTGAGTTTACATACCAGTAAGTGGCTAAAGGTGATGGGAGAAAAAACTTGTGGTTAAATTGAGTGATGTAATGATGAATGACAATTCACTCCATGAGCCACGTGAACTGGCCTGTTTTCTATAGTTAGCTTGGTTTATGTAACACCACCAAAATATGGAAAATTCAGAGGCTAATGACATCTGCCAAAGTGATTTGAAGTGATTTGATATATGTTCCTGGGCCAATAAGAAACAAATCAAATTGTTTTAAACTAAAAAAATTGATTAATCCAGTACTACATGTGTGACTGTATTTTGATGGTGAAACTATTGGAATGGAAAGGGAGGTGATAAATACCAGCACATATGTTTATGGTTCTGTTTTTTGTTGTTGTTGTTGTTTTTTTTAACCCTTTATGGAACCTGACATGTTAGTAGATTGAGACAAATAAATCAGATTGTAGGTAAATTTCTTAAGAGCTAATGTCAGCATGCATCAAACAAACAGCGGCAAGTCACCCAAATTTGTTTCCCCTCCTTTCGTCCTTTGAATTTCTCTGTCACGCTTGTCACGCACTGATATAATAAGTTAGAGAAGATAAATAAACTGAAACTCAAATCTGGCTGGAACGTGGTAGAGCATGATTAACGTGATCATCGAAACAGCTAATAAAATCATAAATAAACAAGGTAAGAGTGTTATGTTAGACTTTGTACAAATTGTAGTGATTTACGCCAATTAACGGTGGCGACAAGTAGGCGCACCATGTACATTTCATAGTCGCTATCAAGTAAATTTTGCCGGACTTTGAGTTCGTCTCAAGATAGAACAACACAAATACACAAGGAAATTTTTACAGTAACTTTATAACCATCCTTTGGTCTTTTAAAAGCTTGAAGCTCAGTAGATTGTGTCATATCAGTCATTGTTAAAACTGTCTTTGTTTTGATGCTACTTTTCGACATAGGAAAAGTATGTCGGACAAAAATATTCACCAAAAAATAAATATTTCTTTGGCAGCTTCAATAACGATAGGGGACTAACTGAACAGACTAATGCAATCCTTCCTCCACTCAAATTTTTTGTAGAGTATTCTATTTTACATGGAAAAAATTTCTGAATTAGGGCTGTGTTAGTAAAAAGGGGCAGGAGAAGGCGTATGTGGTTATTTTAATTTTCCCGAGCGAAAAACTGTGAACGAAACTTCACAATGCATTGCAGCCGGACCTCTGGTTTGTTCCAGCGTTTTCCTTTTTCTATGATTAAACGACGTGAAAACGAGGGCGGAAAAGCGTTCTTTGTTTTTTTTTTTTAATTAGTTCTTACAATGGTCTTTTTTACCGACAAAAATCTTACTCAGACTATCGACTCTAATGATATCAATATTTATCTCCCGAGTTTCACTATCAGAAACCGCTGTAGCCGAGCCATAAGTTTTTTTCGAATATTGTATAAAATTTAAAAACAACAACAACAACAGAGGAAGGGAAAAGGATCTATTTAGTTAACTTTTAATGAATAAAGTGACTCTCACTCGGACTAAAAGTTCCAATGTTATTCCACGAAAGGGTCTGTTGAGAAAATGATAAAGATGGACAGCGAACTGAAAGAAGTGAAGGAAAAGCTGTGTACTTTGACAGCCTCAGTGGGAGAAAGCAAGGATGAAGGTCAGTTGAATTACACAATAAAAGTTATCCTGCTTAACCGCAAATTTCGCCGTAGTCAACATGGCCTGTATGTGAGAGAGGGAGAGATCATCCTATGTTAAAGAGATTCAGTTTTTCAATTTAGACAATCTCTGGAATAATCTCTACGGTGTGCTTTCATTCCCTCCAATTGTTCAAACTTTCACCCGTAATTAGCCTGGAAAACTTTATATTTTGATTAGAGTGGAGAACGAAATAAAACGAAGTACAGTTTTAACGAAAACATTGGCATTAACATTGGCTCGATGTTAGAAATTAACAGAGCAGGTTCCACTGCATTTACAAGCCAAATAGCTTTTGGTCAGTAAATTGACATGAATCATACATTGATACCTTTTTCATCGTCCAAGTAATTTCTTTGGCAGTGGTGTCGTACTCGTTCGCTAATTTAAATTCAGTGCCGAATTCCTAGTAGCATTAGATGTAATCCGCATATTTCTGAATAAAATAACTAAACCCTTCCTACGCTCATATTGTGGAGTATTCAATTCTACATGGGAAAATAGTTGAATGAGGATCGTCTTGAGTAAAATAGGTTCCTAAGGAAAAGACTGTAGGAAAAACCTCCCACTTCATCGCAGGCGAGCCCCCGGTTTTCTGCAGCACTTTTGATGAAACCGCGTGACAAAGAAGGCACAAAGGCGTTGTTTGGTTTCCATTTATTTGTTCGTAGTCTCGGTAAATCCCGAAAAAGCCTTTCTCAGACTACGGCTCCAATGATATGAATATTTATCTCCCGAGTAATTTATTTTACGACAGAGTTTCACTGTCAGCCGAACAAACAGAGTAGGTTTACCTGAATTCATAATCTAAATGGCTTTTAATCAGTAAGCATGAATCATACACTAAAAGCTTTTTGCATCGTCCAAGTAATTTCTTTGGCAACGGTATCGTACTCATTCACTTATTTAAATCCAGTGCCGAATACCAGAGAGGCACCACAATTTTTAATGCTGCATTCATTAGATTTCTTACTTATTTTGCTACTGCTAGGTATTTTTGATCCAACTGAGCTTACGCGAGGGATGGCTCTCACCATTTCCATGGTGTGAAGAGTTTCAGTTTTTTCTTGGAAAGATTTTTACAAGGCTCAAAGTGGTCAGAAGAAAGAAAACGAGAGGAGAAATCAGTAACGTATTTGTTGACATGTCGTCAATACTAGACCCGTATGAAGAGTGTTCAGCGCCGAGAACAGTGTTGATTGAAGGAGAACCTGGTATGGGAAAAACCACCTATTGTAAAAAGTACGCCTACGACTGGGCCACAAAACAGCAAGAACCTCAGGGCTGCGGCTCAACAGCATTTAAAGTGGTATTGTTACTGAAATGTCGAGATATCCATTCTGACGTTTGGGAAGCTATTGATGATCAGCTTCTGCCCCGAGACATCGATGAAGAAGTCAAACAACAATTCTTTCATTTTATTCGTGAAAATCAGTCCAGCATTTTATTGATATTGGATGGATTGGATGAGTTACCGTCCAGTAAATTGTCGATGTTTTCCGAATTAATTGAAGGAAGAGTGCTCCCCAAATGCCACATAGTTGCAACAGCAAGACACGAAGCTG